AGGAAGGAAGGAAGGAAGGAAGGAAGGAAGGAAGGAAGGAAGGAAGGAAGGAAGGAAGGAAAAAATACCTGGGGGTCGGGACTTTGTCCTCGGAGATGGGGGTCCAGCCGGCATCCGCGTTTTTCTGCTCTTTGAACCGCCCATCGAAGACCCTCCCCACTTCGTCCATGTCGAAGGTGCAGACGGCTGAGCCGGTGATGCTGGGTCAAAAGGGAGCCCCAAAACAGCCTCAGGATCCCGCCAATCTCACCCGGCCAAGCGTCCAGACCCAGACAGGGATTGCAGCCGGCCGAGCTCACCTGTTGGACTGAGTGGTGAAGACGGCGAAGACGAACGGGCGGCCGTTGACCAGGATGACGTCGGTGACGGCCTGGAGGACGTCGAAGTAGAAGAAGGCGTCTCCGGGGACCGAGCAGTTGAGCCGGGCCTTCAGGAAGGAGGTCCAGTACTTCTCCAGCACCCGAGGGGAGCCCCCCATGTCGTTCTTGCAGACCCTCCCCACGCGGGAAAAGATCACCTGGGAGGAAGAGAGGCGGAGGTGAGACCCCCCTGAAACCCCTTCCCTGTGCAGGCCTAGCAGAGAACGAAGCGTGCAAAAGCAGAGCCTCCGTGTACAGGAGCAGCATGCTTTGAGTCCCTGTCCAGCGCGAAAAGAGGCTTCCTCATGGCAGGAAGAAGAGAGGGGCAAGCCCAGGTGGAGCCTCCACAGACAGAGGCAGTCTCTCTTAAGGACAGATGCAGAGGGAACGTTTTGCAGAGCGAATTGGAAGAAGTGACTCGAATCCAGTTCCCCGGCTGTCTTTTCACAATGCGGAAGAAGAAGAAGAAGCGGAGGAAGGGGATTCCCACCCCACGGTTCTTCTCCAGGCCCTTCCTGACACGGGGCGACGTGGCCACTCACCCGTCCCAGCGTGGTATATTCCACGGAGATCTCACGGAAGAAGAAATAGACATACTGCTGGTATTCCAGAGCGTGGATGAAATGAGGCTCTGTGGGGAGAAAGCAGTGCTGAGAAACTGAGGGGGGGGAAAGGATGGGCATTTTCGAAGGGATGGGGGGGAGGACCCAGCAGTCTCTGAGCATGTGCAGAGAGCCAGAGAGGGTGAAGACAGCTTAAGGGGTGGGGCGTCCGAGGCTTCCTCACCTCGTAACCACTTGGAGTCGTATTTGACCGTCCGCAGCACGGGGTTGCGCTCCCCCAGGCTCCGATAGATCACCGCATCGCTGGCTTGGAAGTCGGCTACGGTGGCAGAATAAAGGTTCCCGTCTGGAAAGGGGGCGAGAAAGGGAGGAAATTGGGGGGGGGGGGCGGCTGGCCATTCAGGGGGTGTCCAGGCTTCCAGGAGCCACTTCCTTATCAGCAGGGGAAGAGAAGCCGGCGTCCTTTGCTGTCAAATCCTTCGTGGTTCCAGGTCCCCATTTTCCCAGCCTCTTTTCCAAGCCCCCCCCTCCTTAAATTGGCTAAATCTCCTTGTTCATGGATCGCCCCCCTCGTTAACTCTACATCTAAATTATTTCGGCCGCTGCCCATCTCACCCCAGGGACGCCGTCTCCCACGCAGGGGAAAGAGTTGGGGTTGAGTCGGCGTTTAGGAGGACGAGAAGAAGGCAGAGAAGTGGATTTAGTCTGTGAAGCAGCCCTGGGGGTGGGGGTGGGGGGGTGTTACAGAGAGGGGGGGTCTTTTAGGGGCAAACCTACCGGCAAAGATGGCCACGTTGGTCTGTTTGGTATCGAAGGGGCATCGCGCCTGGCCATTCAACTCCTCGCCTTCCTGTTGAAAGTCGCTGATCTAGCGGCCAAGGGGAAGGGCGGGGTCAATCAAAGCCCCACCTCCAGGGGAAGAAGCCCCGCCTCTAAAGCCCCCCCCCACAAAGCCTCCCCTCTCCCCAGAACCTTGATGGAGACCCAGAGCTCCTTCCTAGCCGGTGGGCCGGATGGAGAGTCCCCCCCGCCCCCCCCCCCAAAGCCTCGCTTGCTCCTACCTTGTATGTCCGGCACACTGGGTGGAAAGCGTTGGTGCCGCAGGCCAGGAGGCTCCGGTCGTTCTTGGGCACCAAAACTTTGATGTAGTTGTAACATTCGTCCTGGGGGTTGGGAAGGGAAGGTCAGCCCCGATGCCCAGCGGGGGAGGGCAAGGGTACGGGGAGCGGGGAGGGGGTGCCCACTGAATGGGCCGTTCTTACCCGAAGCTTCCCGCGGACGGCACAGTTCTCCACGTCCTGCGTCTTCCAGGTGAGGTGCTGGGAAGGAAAGGCGGGAACGTCAGAAGGAGGCAGGGAAACCCGGGTCAGGAGAGAAACGGGGACCCCTTTGGGGAAGAGATTTCATGCGAAGGGGCTCAAGGTTGCCCCGTAAACGATCCCAGCAGCCCCCAGTACAGGAACTGGCGGCAGTTCGTTCAGTGAACTTTCGAAGTTACAACTTATGACCATTTTTCACACTTACAGCCATTGCAGCAACCCCAGGGTCCCGTGGCGACTAACTCGTATTTATGGCGGTTGCAGGGGTCAAGGGAATCCCCTTTGGCAAAGCCAATGGGGAAGGCAGCTTCGTTGAACAACGGTGTGACTGATTTTACAACTGCAGCGATTCACTTAAAGACTGGGGCAAGAATGGTCGTAACATGGGCAAAACTCACTGAGCACCTGTCTCGCTTAGTAACAGAAATATTGGGCTGTATCATGGTCATAAATCAAGGACTATTGGTAATGGCATCTTGCAGTCTGTCAGCCTAACCAAAAGCCTCCATTCGGCTAATTTTGGAAATGACCTGGAATCCACCCTCTGCTGCCTTCTAAGACAAGCCAAACTAGGTTTAAATCAGCTGGCTTCGACCTGGCCTGCGGGGAGGATGATGGTGCTTGTAGTCCAGCAAGAGGCAGAGATTGACCATCAATGCCCAAGTTTCTGTATTTGTAGGCCTGGAAATTGTGCGCACAAAAAATAAACGGAAAGAGGAAAAAAGGACAAAGGAAGGAAGGAACGTGGGAAAAAATATCCGAAAACTTGATATTGGGGCACGAACGAAGGAAAATGGAACTCAGAAAAGAAAAAAAGGCCCCTCTGACAAGCCAATTTTTTCCTGTGGACTTTGAAACAAACTTTCTCGCCGGAAGTCAAACAATAACAACAAAAAAGAACAATATAAAACTTTCTGGAAAACTTTCACAGGCTGGGAGAAAGTGAAAAGGGGGTGACCCTCCTCTCCAAAGGCTGGGCACCAGCAAGGACATCCAGCTCACCCTCTTGGGAGAGAAACTGCTTGCGGTCTGTCCGAGGTCAAAAGCGAAGACGTGGTCCCTAAAATCCAGAAAGGGACAGGAGAGAAAGAGGGAAGGAAGAGAAAGAGAGAGAGAAACAAGCCTTAGATTAGCATTTAAAAGGGTCCAGAGTCGGAAAACAGTTTTGTTACGTGTTTTGGAACTGGGAAGAGCCCCTGATTTTTTAAATCTCTGCATCCAAATTTGGTGGGAAAGGAGAAGAAAAGTAGAGAAACGCCCTCATTCTGGATGCTAATTTCCGTTTTCTCAAGCTCTGCCCGAACCGTTAGCTTTTCGCGGTGGGTTCTGCCCCTCTCGGGCAGGGAATTGGTGGGCGTCTCCTGAAATGTTCAATCGTGCCTGAATTTATGGACCCGCTGCCCACAAATTCACCTTTTGGCACGGCTTCCTACCCCAGAAAGGGGGTGCCACAGCCCCCCACTCCCTGCACCCCTTTTTCTCCTTCTCCACTGCACATGGCGCACATCTCTGGCATCGGGAGAGAAAATATAGCACTGAACTCCGGAGGTTGCAGGTGGCTCCCCTCTCCTCAAAACTGCTCCCAGTGTCTCACTTTAATGGGAGCTGTGGGGAAGGGAGATTTGGGACGGGCATGGCGAGACCCTCCCCCTTCCTCCCTCGCTTACCGGGCAGCCACGAAGAGCGTCTGGTTAATCTGCAACATGCTCTGGAAGTCCAGGCCCAAGGCAGCGTGGGAGTCATTCTCTCCCCCGAGGCCGCGGAAGGAGGGATACAGGTGGGTTCCTGGTGGGGGGATAACATGATGAAGAGCATCTGATGGGGGTCTACGGCCTCCTGCCTTGGGCGGGGGGAGGGGGGAGGGAATGGACTAGAAGATCTCTAAGGCCCCCTCCAGCCCCCGAGATTCTATCCAAAAGGAGGAAAGGGTTGCGCATAAGCAGGTTTGGGGTTTACAGTCCGGGGGTGGGGGTGGGGGGGTGTGAGGGCGGGAAGCCAAACCTGTGGTTTTTCCCATGCAAATCCTTTCTCCAGGGGCGGGATAAAGAGAGAGGGGTGGGGGAAGAGGCCCCCCCAAAAGGCCGGCCTGGGGTTTGCAAGGGAGGGGACGGCCTCACCTGCCTCGCTGACCACGTGGAAGGGAGCCAGGTCTTTGGGGAAGGAAGACGCCGATGCCAGGAGGAGAAACAGAGCAGGCAGGGGAGAGGTCAGGACCATCCTTTCCGGGGGGGCAGAGAGGATCCGGGGCGGCCGGAGGGAGCCTACGAGTCCAGCATGCTCCCGCCCTGCAAGAGGAGGGGGGCATCTCAACATCCGGGGGGCTGGGGGGGCAGGGGGGGGCAGAAAAAAGGAAAGACACGGGGCCTTCTCGGTGGTGGCTCCCCCAAAGGGCGTTTGATTCCCCCCAGAACGGCTCCGCGGGATCTCCGAGGGCCGCAACTCCCACCTGAAGCAGCAGCCAGCCTCTCCCCCCACCCCACCCCGCCCAGATACTCCAGAACCCTTGGACTACAGCTCCCATCATCCACAATCAGCCTGGCCAGGTGGCTTGCTCCAGGCTTTGCAGGAAAGCAGCGCTTTCCACCGGCCAATTTAATGCGCCGTCCGGTTCCAGCCTTCCAGTCGCCTTTTTTACTGAGGAAACACAGCTTGGTGTCCAAAACTGACTGGCTACGATAAATAGCTTTACGAGGAAAACCCCCACAAGGATTTCTCTCCCCCCCTCACCCCCCAGGTCATTACCAGCCTCCCTTCTGGGGGGTGGGGGGTGAGCGGGGGAGGGCAGAGGCACCTGGCCAGTGTCATAAAGGAGGAAGCGCAGGGCACTCTTGACGTGTGCAGCCTCCTTTGGGCACCAGCGGGCAAGAGAAACCCCAGCTGGGGTGCCAGGGGAATTCTGGGAGGGGGGGGGCAGAGCAGCCCCTTCCACAGCAAAATCTCTGCCCCTCCCCCAACGGGATGGAAGTGGCTGGATTTGGGCAGAGCTCAACCTGTCCCTGGTCTCGGGAGGGGATGAGCCACCGTGCCACTAACTTACCAACTGCAGAGATTCACTTAACGACCCCCCCCAACCTACCCGCCCCCCTCCTCAAGATGGCTGAGATCCAGGCCAGAAGAGAGGCGTGAAAGGCAAGACGTGCCTACCTCGCAGGGCTGTTGTGAAGCCAAGGAGGCCCGTCTGCTAACGGGGGCGGGGTGGGGGGGGCAGGGGCAGCATCCGACGCCGGGAAGGAAGCGAAACAGGATTTGTAGCATCCTGGACGAGGCCTGGGAGGGCAGGCGATGCCAGGCGCTATAAATAGCGGGAAAGGAGACACCCACTTTGGCCACTGGTGGCCACCATGGGAGGGGTGTGTGTGTGTGTGTGTGTGTGTGTGTGTGTGTGTGTGTGTGTGCGTGTGTGATATTTATGGAGGCGACACTCATGCTGTGCAGGAAAGGGCAGGTCGCGCTGCCAAGAGGTTTCCCGAAAGAAAAGGGCAAACCGATTCCCGACCCCAGAGAAGAGATAAGGCTTGATTTTCTCAAGCACAGACAAAACCCAGGCAGGTTTCTAGTCCTCAGGACGGAGCGCCTTTCAAGCTAGCAAGTCACCTCTCCTAGCCATGTTCGCACGCACGCACGCACGCACGCACGCAGACAGAAAGTGCAGAGTTGCAGGTTTTGTGCAAAGAAGCGGTTTAGCAAGTCCCAAGTGCCGGGCTGCCTTCCCCGCCATCGGCTTTTCCGCATGTCACCCGCACATCTGCGTGGGTAGATTTGCGTTTTGACGTATCCTGCTCTCTTTCCCCCACCCCCACCCCCCCATTTCTCTCCAGACTCCCCTCTTCCCCAAGTGAGCCACAAGGTGAGAAAAAAACCCAGGCCTGGATTTATTTACACTTCTGAAGCTGAACTTTCCAGCGGGTATATAATTAGAAGCAAGAACTCGGCGGGGGAATTGCTTTCATAATAATTCCATATTTATATTTTTATCTCATCTGCAGAAGCCGCGGGAAAAGGCTGGGGGGGGGGAACGGGTCGGCTCCATCCGCCTGGAGTGTGTCCCCCCCTCCACCCCCCCGTTGCGAGAAATGGGCCCAAGAGGCAGCAAGACGCAGAATTGGGATTTTGGGGATCAGTTTGCAGGGGGGGGCGGGGCTCAGGGGGTCCCTCTACAGGTGCGTCTTTCAACCTTGGCACCTTTAAGAGGGGTGGACTTCAACTCCCAGAATCCCCTAGCTGGCAATGGACTTCAACTCCCAGAATTCCATGGCTGCTGGTTAGCAGTTCTTTCTTTTAAAATTTTCTGTTATTTTCTGTTATTAAAATTATTCTGTTTAAATTATTCTGTTCTTTTAAAAACTCCACTCAGACTTTTTCTAATTCGGGGGAGGGAGCGGGGGGATTCTGTGTCAGATCCGGAAAGCGTGCGAAAGGGAGGGAGGAGGGACCCCCGTTACACTGAGAAGCTGCCACCGTGTCAGCACTTTCCTGAGCCATCTGTCAGGCACAACTCTGTCACTATAAATACAACTCAAACGCCACCGTTGCCGCCACCGAAGGTTCTCCGCCTGGCATCTCAGCGCCAACCCACAGCAGAGCGGCTGCTGTGCCTCACCAGACACTGCCGGGGGTGGGGGGGGAGATTTCAAGAGATCTGTCTGATCGCACACACACACCCTGGCATCGGAGCCCCAGGTCTGCCCACCCTGAGCTGCCAGGCCTGTAGCAGGCAGGATGCCCCCCTCCAAGATGCTAGTCCTCATGGCAACCAGTTTGTGCGAGGTTCGAGTCTGGCCTCTTTTTCTCCCGAGATAGAAATAGCTGAATCATGTGAAAACACACACAGACACAGAGCAGGGATGTCTTTCTTTCTTTCTTTCTTTCTTTCTTTCTTTCTTTCTTTCTTTCTTTCTTTCTTTCTTTCTTTCTTTCTTTCTTTCTTTCTTTCTTTCCTTCCTTCCTTCCTTCCTTCCTTTCTTTTCTTTCCTTCCTTCCTACCAGAAAAATATCTCTTCCTTTGTCATCCTTTTGAGCGGCTGAGCCAGGTTTCCTTCACTTAATGAGACTCCCCAGGCTTTGGAATTATGATATACATACATACATACACATTTCCAACGGGAGAGAAAATTGAAGCTTTTGTTGGCTGTTTGCAGTGGCCTTTGTGCACCAGCAGATGTTGCAGTGAAATGATCTTCTAATGCAGTGGGAGTTTGTAAAAAAAATAAAATAAAATCAGTTTGGTGATGGCTGCTGGCTGTGGAATTCTGGGAGCTGTAGTTTTTACCCATCGTAAAGTGCCTGGGGGATTCTGGGAGTTGTAGTCCGCCCATCTGAAACTGTCCAGATTGAGGAAGATCCCTTCCAAGAAACCCATCCAAGCCTGAGTGGCAGCCGCAGGGTGGCACCCCTGGTCCTACGAAAAGTTTGGCAGGAGAATCATTGCACCACGGGGGGGTTGACATTTTTCAGGGGGGGGGGGTACTCATCCCTCTTTGCGTCATGCGAGGAAACCTCCAAGAGGAAATACAATTCGGTAGAAGAACAGACTAAAAACACCCCAAGCACATCTCGGTCCGTCCCAGAAATGCCTTTTTTCTTTTTAAACGTCTCCCAAGTTGCAAATCGGAGGTGCCCCAAAGTGAGCCAACCTTGGCTGAAGAGGAAAGGGTGGCCGAAGATTCGAAGCCCCCCCACCCCCAAACTCAGCACGTATAGAGGGGCGGGGGGAGGGGAGAAAGAAGGGGAGGCTCCTTTATTTATTTATTTTTGGCCTTTGGACAGACTTTGCCTGGACATGGAGGTTCCATTCTGAGCACCAAAGCCAATTGGCTTAAGAGTCCTGCAGCCATTTCCATTGCATTGCATTTTTTTTTTTTAAAAAAAAGACGAACCACGTTTAGCCCAGACCCATTGAAATGATTCCGGGGGGGGGGGGGGGGGGAGAGGGGAAAAGGGGGGGGGGCTGGGGGGGGTTCTGGATGTTCTCCCCAAAGGACAACCAGAGAAAAGGCCGGCGTGCACACACACACCTGTGTGCCCACAGGCAGCGCCCCCCCCCCCGCCTAGCCAAATCCAGGTATCAAAATCTCATTACTGAAGACTTATGGACTCCCGGCTGCTAAAGCCGCCCCCACCTTCCCTGCCCCCCACTTCTTCTATTGCCAAAGAGGAAGGGTGACCCACAGAAAACAGCCCCTGCCTGCCCCACAAATGGAGATGTTGCAGTGGGGGGGGTGGAGGGAACCCACATATTTCTGGTGCCTGATGCTGGGTGCTTGGGACCTGAGCAGCCTTCTAGCCCTCATGAAGGAGAAGGGAAGCTACCCCGGATGGACACCTTGCAAAATAATTGGGGTTTTCCTTCCTTCCTTCCTTCCTTCCTTCCTTCCTTCCTCTCTCTCTCTCTCTCTCTCTCTCTCTCTCTCTCTCTTTCTTTCTTTTTCTTTCTTTCTTTCTTTCTCCCCGCTCTCTGTTTAGAAAGGCCTAAATAAATAGAGGTCAGCTTGAATTAGAGGGGGTTGGGGGGGCTTGTTTGCTTCAAAATCAGCTAATGGAATAAATAATAAATAGATAAATCTGCTTTTTGGGCTCAGATGTTCATTTGGGGGCAAAGCACCCCAGGATAAACGCGCGGCTGATTTTTGCAGTGAAGAAGCTTAGCCAAAGAAAATACATCCCTGCAAGTCTCTAGTCCTCAGGGTTTGGCCAGATCTGGGCAGCGGGGCTTTGCGAGGGAGGCCTCCCTCCGCTTCATTTCTCGGTTATTAAATCAAGGGCCTCCGGCGTTCGCATCGGACTCCCAGCCGACCAGGACAACAGAAACGGAGATAATTTTTTCCTCTGGAAAGGCAGGCGAAACAGCTTCCCAACTCTGACAGGGAGCAGAATGGCTGCCTGGTAAGAAGATGCGACGGTCTGTGGAAACGTATCAGGCCTTCTGCCAGGGCTTGGGGGGGTGGGGGGGGGCGGGTTTGGGGAGGGGCTCGGGGGAGGCAGAAAGAGGGGAGCCTTCCTTTTTATTTTAAATCTATGCCATTCTGCAAAGCACTGCATCCCCCTGAGGTGCCCCCTCCCTCTTCTCTGGCGTCCTTCCCGTCCTCAGGAACGAACTGCTGCTACCGGAAGCGACAACTGGCAGGAGAGGAGGGGGCTGGAACACAGAGGCCGCTCTGCCTGGCCCAGCAGAAATGCTTTATTGCTTCCTGGGTGGGGGGAGGGTCTTTGTCCCACCAGCCAGCCACCTCCACTCACCCTCCAGCCCCGGCTACGTGCCAGCCCACTGGAGGTGGGTTTTGGGGTGCCTTGGCACAGGCTAACCAAGCTAAGAAGGAGCCAAGGGGTGGTTGAGGGGGGCCTTTGGCCTGGTTTCTGGGAAGCTGCACCTGCTGTCACTTTAAAAGATGCCAAAAAAAGGAGAATATTTGTAGCTCGGCCTTGAAAGGGTCTTTGGTGGTCTCTGAGTTTGGTGGATGCTTTGCAGACGTTTCACGACCCAACTAGGTGGCATCATCAGTGCTAGAAGGGAGGAGGAGGAGGGGGATTAGGGCTCCTTGGTGGTCTCTGAGCTTGGTTGCTTTCTTGTAGACGTTTCATGACCCAAGTAGGTGGCATCATCAGGGCTAGTGGGGTTTGCTGCAAATGCTCCTTCTAGCATTGACGATGTTACCTAGTTGGGTCATGAAATTTAAAAGATGCTCTTGGGAGGCTGAACAAGCAACCAGGCATGGGATGGGTTTTTCTGTCTTTCACAAAAATAAAAATAAATGTATTTTTTATCAATAAAAATAGTCTATAAATAAACGAAATCTGCAACAAAGACTCAAAGCAACACAGAGGTTGATAATTGGGAGAAATTAAAACCCTAAAACGACTGGAGGGCTTGCTGGTCATCTTAGATTCGAACCCAGCACTTGGCAGGCTTTCTATCTGTCCCTCCCACTAGTAAAGTGCATTGTTTGTGTGTGTCATATTTATTTTATCCTTCTCTGGTCTCTGCAACAACAGCCCTGAAAGGGAGGCCAGTGAGGAAAACGCTGGGTCCTTTGGCCAGGGCATCTCTTGAAGGTCGGGCATCAGCGTTGGCATAAGAGCTGGACTCAAACGGTCAGAAAACGGGATCAGACGTAGCCAGAGGTTATCTAAGGTCCTCTTTTACCTGCTGCCTCTTGCAGCCAAAAATATCTGGATCAGTTGGGTGTCAAATGCCAGCTCTCTGGACACGCCAATCGGCCAGAAAACCGCCTGCTTGGCTGGCTCCTCTGCGCCGAAGGGGCTTCATCTGCAGAAATCACTATTGGGTGGGCAGATAATCCCTGGCACTGCAAATTGCCGGAGAGAAGTAGAGAAGCTGGCAATTCTCATTTAAAAATACAGAGGCAAAGCTGGCACTTTGCCCTTCAGCCATGCCAGGTGTCAACCTGGTGCCTTTGACCAAAGGAGTGAACCCCAGAGTCGGTCTCCCTTTCCCAAAGATCACAAATGACTGATGGGCGAGGCATTTCCCACCCACCCACCCTTCCTATGAAGCACCGAGCCAGCCACGTGGTCACCTCCTCCAAAAATAGACGGCGTAATTAAATGAAATATTATGCCAATTAAAAACCCAAAGCTGGCCTCTTCTCCATCCTCTTCTTCTTACCCGGGGCCACCTCGATATAAATTTAATATATTACTTCTCATCAACTGGCACATTATATTCCAGGCGCTCCGTTCAATCCACACGGCGGGGCTAATTTTAGCAGCTGCTCCAGCTGCCTTCTGCTTTTCCAGAAAGAGGGAAGAAGGAGGAGGAGGAGGAGGAGGAGGAGAAGGAGAAGGAGAAGGAGAAGGAGAAGGAGAAGAAGAAGAAGAAGAAGAAGAAGAAGAAGAAGAAGAAGAAGAAGAAGAAGAAGAAGAAGAAGAAGAAGAAGAAGAAGAAGAAGAAGAAAACGGGGAGGGGGAATTTCAGAAAATTGAATTGCAAGGCAGCATCTGAGCGATTAAAAAAATACAAAACAACCACACCCACCCAGCCAGCATTGGAGTCTCTGCCAAGGCTTGGGAAGCATTTGGAGTCTTCGTTCAGGCGCTAGTCCTCATGAACTTGGCCCCGGGGAGGTGTGGAGAGCGTTTAGAATCTTCACTCAGGCGCTAGTCCTCATGAACGGGACTGGGGAAACCTCCTTGAATGATAGAAACACCCACGTCTTCTTCACACATGCGCTGCACGATATCGAAACATCCAGAAAGTCTATCTAACGAATATCACCTGGACAGAAGCACCCTGGGAAACCGCCCCCCCCCCGACACACACAATTTCTGAGTGTGGAAGTGGGGGGGGGTCTCCAAGGGCAAAGAGCAGGACTTAAGAGCAGGGGGTGTAAAAGTGGCTGCCGAGACCCCTCCCCTCCCCTGAGCTCTCCGGGGCTTTGGCACCAACGTCGGAAATTAAACTATTAATAATTCAGGGTCCGTTGCCGTTATAAATTCAGGGTCCCGCAGGAGCCATCCGTGCCAGCAAGCCGAGATGGGAGGGAGGCGCAGAAGCGTGGGGGGGCTTTTTTGGGGTGGGGGGGGCAGAAGGAAAGAGAGCCCACAGCTTTTATGTTTCCTCTTACTGGAGATGGGAACAAATGGGAAGGAAAGGTGAGCCTTAAAATTAAAAGCAAAACAAAACAAAAGAATCCGCCATGCTGGAGGATGGATGAAGTTATGAAATGACAGGGAAGGAGCCTCTGCACTCAAGGCATGCTCAGAGGCACTCTGGTCTTAGCAGGCTGAGCACATGGAAGCGATTCCCTTTTTTCTCCCAGAAGCAAAGGGGAAAGCGGCGTTTTGGGAGCCGGGAAGCGATTTCTGGCTAAAGAAGGGTGACCCTCCGGCCTCAGCTGCACCCCGTAAACCGACTGCATAGGTATCTTTCTCCCCAAAAGAACAAGGCCGAAGAAAACCAGAGATGAGAAACGAGGAGTGATCCAAATAAATAAACCACAATTCTGAGTCTCTCCTTGGGAAGCAGCTCATCCCCGTTTCCGGAGCGCTGCAAAATTCCCGCTTGGCAATTCGGGACGTGGTGACGTAGCCCCGAATCATCCGGTGATAACCGTATCGCAAGATTGGGGGTTCCCCTTCGCTTGATATCTATCCCCTCGGCCGCTTGGACTCTATCAAACCCAGCCGCTTAGCAGCTGAAGCCATAAAGACAGAAGTAAAATAACGTTAACCCAGCAGTTCGTCTCGCCGTCCTACGAGTTAAACCACTTTCGGTGCCAGAGGCCTGTCTGGATGAAAAACCAGGGAGAGAAAGACGCACTTTGGGCCTGAGAGCACCCCCAGAAAGGGAGGCGAAGGGCCCTTACTCCGAGGAAATTTGCAATTATCTCTCGCCACTTTTCTTGCCAGATCCCCGAATGGCTGGCTGGCTGGTTTTTAGCCCTGGGTGCTTTATTGTTTCCTCTGCCCTCCATGCTCCTCCTTCCTCTTCAGCCATGCCTGTGTGTGTGTGTGTGTGTGTGTGTGTGTGTGTGTGTGTGTGTGTG